GGAGAGGGCCCCAGCGCGGAGCTGGGAATGGGTCTGGAGGAGAGGGCTCGAGGGCGCTCCAGTATGTCCCCTTGAAGTCAGATGGAGGTCCTGAACAGCCAATGAGGTTCGAGCTGTCTCCTTCCCAGGTCAATGCAGCATCACTGAAATAGGGCAATGTAGACATTCCACCTCTTTAACCGGATGCTGCGTCTCTCTTGTTTGTGTAGGTTTACCTCTAGCAAACATGAAAGTCCTCATCCTGGGAAAACTCTCGAAGAAGAAGGATGAGCTGAAGACCCTGGTGGAGGAATTTGGAGGCAAAATCACTAGCACAGCCAGTAAAGCCAAGCTTTGCATCAGCTCGCAGAGTACGTGAATGATCATTGGAGTCCTGCACAGCAGGAGTCCAAATTTTGACCTGTACATCAACCCCCCACACCCTTATCCCACTGCCCCCCACTACCCCCAACTGTCTGACAGCTCAACTTCCACATTGGATTGAGAATAAGGATGGAGCTTGCTGTTGCACCCCTCTGTGACCCTCACCCCTCTGCCTCCCTCACTTGCCCCTCCCCCCACCCCCCACCTTCCCCTTGCCTCCATTTCTTTCACTTCTCCTTCCCAACCTGGGTCCACTTGGATTGGAGATGATGCTTAATGTTGGGAATGTTTTCTGCCACTCTGTGCTCCTTCAACCCTGCCCTCAGAGTGTTTAATAGGGACAGCATCGAGGGAGCTTCACTCTTTTGAGCTGAAAGTAGAGGAAGCTTCACTCTGTATCTTACCCAGTGCTGTCCCTGTCCTGGAGTTGTTTGTTGGAAAGTTTACTTTCTGTCTAAAAGATTAGAGGAAGCTTAATTCTCTACCAACCAATGATGTATATTTCGTGGGGAGTGTTTGCTGGGGACAGTGTGGAGAGAGCTTTACTTAAAAGATTAGAGGGAGCTTTATCAGTGTCTCACACCATGCTGTCCCTGACCTGGAAGCGTTTGATGGGGACACTTACAGGAGCTTTGCTTTCTGCTTAAAAGAATAGAGGCAGCTTTACTTTCAGTTTGAGAGAGTAGAGGTCTTCCTGTTGCAATGTTTCTCCACAGCAGTAGTACAACAATTGAGGTAGGCCTGATGGATTGAATGGCCTGTTTTGGTCACCTTCTGTTGGGTCTTTCTCCTGGATGGTTCGCATTCATTGCTGGTAACTTTTCTACAGAGGAGGTGGACAAAATGTCTAAGAAGATGGAGGAGGTGAAGGAAGCCAATGTCCGTGTGGTTTCGGAGGATCTCCTTGACGACCTGCAGTCAGGGAAGGGCCTTCAGGAATTGTTGTCGGTGCATGGGATCTCGTCGTGGGGAGCTGAGCTTGCCCCCGAGAAGGTCTCAGAGCCCCCTGTCGCTGGGAAATCCACTGGCAGCAAGGTCACAAAGAACTCCAGTGGCAAAATCAAGCAGGAGCAAGGTAATGGAGCTTCACACAAACAGCCGCGTTTGTATAGTGCCTGTCACTACCCCAGTACATCCCAACACGCTTCAGAGCCAAGGTACAGCTTCTGTCACATAGTCACTTGTAAGTTAGCAAGGCACCAGCTAATTCTGTACAGCAAGCTTCCACAAATGTCAATATCACAAATAACTCTAAGGTCTTGAATTTGTAATAATGGGCAAGTTGACGATTCCCCATCCCGCGCTTCCAAAATTTTCCGATCGCGTGCTGCTGTGTATTCTTTCCACAATATTGCATTCTGCACTGACAGTGCAGTACCTCCCTCAGTACTGAAGTGGACTACATATTGAAGGCCTGGTGTGGAACTTATTCCCATTGGCTCTTGCAGGCAGCCAGAACAATTTAAGAGTTGGTGATTTATTTAGAATTAATTCACAGGATGTGGGCTTTCCTACCGGGCCAACATTTATTGCCCAGTCTGTAGTCTCCCTACACAAGGCGGTGGTGGGAATGCTGCAGTCTGTTCAGGGGATTCGCTTCTGGGTTTGAGTGGAGTGAAGGGACTTGTTCAGGAAGCAGCCCCACAGTTAGAAAAATAATCTTTGTATCGTGGTAAAGTAGTGCCCTGCTGATGCTTGTCTCTTCCAGAATCCAGCAAATCAGAGAAGAAGATGAAGCTGACAGTTAAAGGTGGGGCAGCTGTGGACCCTGACTCTGGTACGTGGACCTGAAAATCGGCGCGCTCACTAACGGCCCCCATCGGCGCGGTCAGTAACGGCCCCCCGTCAACATCGGCGCGGTCAGTAACGGCCCCCATCAGCACGATCAGTAATGATCCCCATCGGTGCGGTCAGTAACAACCCCCATTGGCGCACTCACTAACAACCCCCACCGATATCGGCTGCAGTCAGCTCCAGTCAGTATTGCCTGCAGTCATTGCAGTGGTGTGCCCTGGTCAGTATCAGTCAGTCTGAGGTGAGGAAGGCCTGCAGTGTTTGGGTGATTTGCTAGAACCACAGTTTGTGCCAGGAATGTTTCACTCCCCACCCAAATTAATACAGGAGAATTGAAAATGTTGAAAAGACCAGTTTTCACTGTCTGTTGCACCATTGTGCAGACGCCCTGTCCTAAAGTCCCTGCTGTGAGAGGTCTGTGTCAATGTGCTCACTTCCTGAGGGGCTCAGGTTGAGGGAACACTGCTCAGGCCTCAATCCCAGGCTGCTGCTCAGAAAATCCATCCCTGCCTTTCCCCCACTCCACTTCAAAATGGTGCCCGGGATGGGGGGCATCTTTTGCATTGCCTCGTCAGGACTGAGTGGGTGGGGGGGCAGTGGGCACTTCCAGCTCAGCTGTAAGGGGTGGCACCTCTGGGAGTGTGGCACTCACTCAGTACCGCCCTGCAGTGGGTCAGCCTTCAACGTATGGCTGGCCTGGGATTTAAACGTGTGGCTGATCAGCTGATGGTAGTGCCAGCTGCTGGTGGGCTGATGTGAGGTTTCAGCCCCTACCCCACCCCTGAGAACTTGGGGATACTGGAGGGAGGGTGAGCAGACTGGGCGACGGGTACAGAGTGAAGCAGAGAATCCCATACCCGTGACTGATGTGTTTTTCAGGGCTGGAGGACTCGGCTCATGTCTTTGAGCAGGGAGGCAGAATCCTGAGTGCTACCCTGGGCCTGGTGGATATATCCCGCAGTCAGAACTCCTACTACAAGCTGCAGCTGCTGGAAGACGACAACAAGAAGAGGTTCACAGCGCCTAGGGTCAAGGGGGTTTCTGGGATCAAGGGGACCGGTCCCAGGGTTGAGGGTGTGGTCCTGGTTTTTGGAGGAGGCGGTCAGGGGGTCAGTCCCAGGGTCAAGGGGGCTGACCCAGTGATGGCTCTTTCCTACGCCGAGGGAGCCCTGAGACAAGGGTGGGCCAGGGCAGGGGGTGCTGGTGTCATAGGGATTGTGTCCTGCTGGGCCAGTGAGAGCTCTCTGATAGGGTTCACTGTGAAAGACAGCCCCCTCTATCAGTGCTGACACACAGACACACATGCACAGGCACAGGCGCACACGCACAGACATACGCATAGACACAGACACACATGCACAGGCATGACATGCACACACACACAGACGCACACGCACGGAGACACACTTCAGAGCAGGACTTCACGTTCCTGGGTCACTGGCTCCATTTCTGGGGAAGATGGGACCTGTACAAGTCTGACAGGTTGCACTTAAACTGAAAGGGAGCCAGGATCTTTTCTGGGGCTTCGGGTCTTCGGTAGTGCAGTTGGTGGGAGTTAAAACTAGTTTGGCAGGAAGGTGGGATACAGTGTGACAGGATTGTAGCAGTGGTAGACTGACCAGGACAGAAGAATGAAATCAGTACTAGCCAGAGTGTAAAAGTAGTCAAGGTAAGGCATAAGGTGCATGACAAAGACTGGTTGTCGATTATTTAAATAAAAGGAGATTTGTGAGCAAGGCAGATGAGTTGAGAGGAACGTTGATACACACATGGTTATGTAATATTAATGTTGGAGGAGCAGGACTGGCCACTCTCAAATTCAACTCAAAATTCAATCAAATTTGATCTCCCCTGATAAAGCCATGCTGATTATCCTTCATAAATGATTGCCCCTCCAGGTGGAGATTAATTCTGTCCCTCAGAATTCCTCCATTGATGTTTGACTGACTGGCCTGTCATATCCTGGTTTATCCTGATCA